ATGGAGATTAACGGTTGTGGCTCATCTGACTAGTGACGGACAACGCCCCGATGGGACTCGAACAACGAAGAGTTATGTAATTCATTCTGTTCTGAATCGGTGAGCTATGGCAGCCAAAGCTTGCCAGAATTAAGATCAGCCCCTTCAAATAAACAAAAATGAGACTCAATAAACACACCAGAGAGACGGACCGGCTCATACTAGATGTTCCACTGCTTCCCTATCCAGCATCCAATGCGGGTGCCCTGGCTAGTGGGGAGGAACGTCGACTCAAGGCAGAACTTTGGCCATTTCTCGTGTTGAAAGAGTATCAGGATCAGAGATCGATCCCACCGTTCGCTCGGTCTAGACGTGTACCCACAGAAGAGTCATCAAGTTCAAGAATTGGAAGGTAAAAGTCGTTGAGAGGCAAAAGCAATGTTTTGAACGCACGGCCACAAGGTGGAGGTGTCAAGGCTGTGAGACCCGGATGGACATGACAGTAGGTTGCAAGCTGGGGGGCATGTTGATGGGGCTGAGCCCTCCATCATCAACACGCTGTAGAAGCCGCTTGAGGTAGGCATTGTAGCGCCAAGGTTCCTGCCAGGATAGCTTCGAACGCATTGTTGATTGCTTCTCTCTTTCCTAGCCAAGTCTTTGGCATGCATGCCTGCTTCATTTGTGAACAGAATTACGTCGCGCAACCCCATCAGTTAATATCCTACCAGCAGCTGCTGTTCTGGCTGGACAGCTGAAGGCAATCCCAGATCCGTTGCGCCGTCCTTTTCCATCATGGTGTCTGCGGCGATCTTCTCGTACATGACGTCGGGGCCTCCAAAACATGCAGACTTGCTCTGCTTTTTGTGGTTCATTTGAGATAGACCCGTCATTAATAACCCCTCTTTCTAAGGGCCTTGTTATTGGGATCCCTACTATAATTCCCATTAAGGGGAAGGGGTGTATTAACTAGCAGTCTACATTAAGACAAACAACCGCAGACATGTGTTTCTTCAGCAGAGCCACGTGCTTGGAACATCCTCGGCTTGGCAAAGAGTTCGCGTCTGCTTGTCTGGCCCGGCTTCAACATTACAACTTCCGCAATTGGGGATGTCCCAAAATTGGGGGGGTACCTTTTGGGGGTCCCAATAATATAGATTTTGATGTTTTGCGGCTCCCTATTGGGGTCCCCCTATTTTGGAACACTATCAAACCCCAAACCCTAAACCAATCAAATCCAAGGGACTGCTCATGTGTCCAAATGCCCCGCTTGCCAATCTCTATGAAGCGGCCGCCCTTCCGGAGCAAGGCCAATGACCGAGGAATGTAGTCATCGTGGCCTGGGCCCAACTCTGTGCAACAGAGAGCTAACCACCAACAACTCAAATCAAAGGATCTACATATATATATATATATTGTTATTATTGATATTGTCATTCTGAATGTAAGCATGAATAGTATTGGTAATATTGTTCGTAGGTAAGACTGTTACCTTTTGTTATACTGGAAGGCTACATTGAGGCAAGGCGCTGAGGCTGTTCAGCACCACGTCGATTCCTTCAACTCCCTGCTCCTGCGACGCTTGTTCAAAGTATAGTATTGTATAGTACAGTATCCTCCAGTATCCTCTAGTATAGTCTAGTATAATCTAATATAGTATAGTACGGACGCCAGCAGACCCATGCAAGCCCTCGATCTTGCAAGGCTTTAGTGATCAGGAACTGAAGTGCCATACTGGATCAAAACTGTGCAGAAGTTAAGCACGCTCTCCATCCATTGATGACAACAAGGTATGCCGCGCATTGCCTTACATGCACGTCTAGTGCACACGTAACTGTCCTGCTCAAACAGTTTGGCATGTACCTGCAGATCGCCGGGTTTTGTCCTTGAGCATCTGCTTCATATCATCTTCGAATTTTTGACCGCTTCTGCTGCTCGTGATGTGCTTGACCTCAGAATGGATTCTCTAACGCATGGCGTCAACCCCGCCATGTTGCCCCCCATTTGCCCCTGTCCCTGGCTTGGTTTCCCAAAATCTTCTTTCTGCCCAGCAATGTTGCCCCCTTCCCATGCCCTTCCCCTCTCTTCCATGCCCTTCCCCTCCCTTCCGTGCCCCGCCCCCATCCACCCCCACGCAGGCACACTTCAGCACTACAACCAGCCTGTGTTGCGTCAACGCTTGAAATTGTGAGAGCGACGCATAATGACAAGCATGCCCACCCAAGCTGGACGTCTTCAGCATGTGTACCAGTCTGCCACCAAGGTGCTCCAAGACCTCTCAGGAATTCGTGTTTCTCATCTGCCCCGGCAGTGGCATAAACCTCTGCACCAACGAAGTGAGCGTACCTCGTCGCATGGAAGGCTGCTTAGCTCAGACCAATATAGTAGGGTATATGTATATATATATATATCAGTTGCTTGTCTGCCAGGGCACTGGATAGCCACCAGGCCAACTCCACCAGCGGCCGCATGGATGAGGACGCGCTCTCCCCGCTTCAGCTGGGCCAAATCACCCAAGGCCTCCTCCACGGTCACGAAGATCACTGGCATACAGCAGGCCTGGCAAGTTTAGCACACGGCAAGCAGGTGCAGTAGTTACTTGCCGACGTTAGGAGTGGCCTCCTCGTATGTCCAGGATGCCGGCTTCGGGGAAAGGAGTGCGGCCGAACTTGTGTTGTAGGTGCTGAGGCACCCTGGCGACTCACCGAAGACATCCTCCGCCACGCGCAAGTGCTGCACGTTGTCTCCAAGGCCGATAACGGTTCCACCACAGTCTGCGCCTGGGGGACCTGTCACTGCAAAAAACGTGAGCAATTAGCATAACAGGCAACTCAGCTCCCTTTCTGGCATGTCTTCATCCTAACTCCACCAGCACTGCGAGACTGCCAGGGTGTCTAAGGTCACCTTTATGGGTAGGGCTGGGTAGCACGCTACATGCAAGTCCAGAGCCAGTGTGGAACTGAATCCCTCTCAGGAATGGACCTGGATCGCCAGGATAGAGACCCATGACCTCAGGTTTGCGGGCTTGACCCCTATCTTGCCCGACTGTGCTCCCACAATCCAATGAAATGCAACTTGGCCACGTTAAGGACATCTCGGAAATTCAGACCGACCGCGCGAATGCGCAACTGAGCCATTCCCGGAGCTGCTGCCACACGCACCGAAGTGTCCGCCTGCGGTACCACTCGAAGACCTGTAAGGGATCCGCGAGCTGGCATGTTCAGCCGAATTGCGCCCGAGTACTTCACGGCAGACCGCGCTAGCTTCGCCGCGCTGAACTCCAAATCTCGAATCGCGATCTCTTCTTCTTCCAGCGGCAGCGCTGGCAGCACATCAGTGGAAAGCTGAACCCAGGCATCAGTAGGCTTGCAGGCATCCAAATCTGCACAGACGATGCGAAGCGCACCTGCACCAAAGCAACAAGCATATCACACACTGACCAGGTGCCGGTTGACCCATGCAACTTGCCTGGGTACTCCATTCGCACTGCACGAGCGAATCCCCAAAGACCACTGTGGTCAGGGGCACCTGTGGGCAGCCACAGCAGCTTCGGTATCGATGGATGCAAATGATGTTTAGGGTTTAGGGTTTACGGGCTCCACACCTAAGATACATGATACCCACAATATTCCCATGAGATTCATCTCGAGGAATCTGGGAACAGCTCCTGCAAATCTGGAACCATGTGTAAACACATCTATAGGTGTATATATATATACATATACATATATATATACACATATGTACATACATATCTACATACCTATGTACCCAAATATCCACACATATTTTCATAAATATGTATAGATTGTCTACACCTCATATATACCCCTGGGCCTTGCCGGCGCTTCTCACTCTGCTCCGCCACCAGCGGCTGAGCACCCCAGGTCGGCAAGACCAACACTGGGGCCTTGCTACCCAGTTTGGCCGCTGCCTCCCGGGAATCAGAGACAAGGTTTGAGGGTTTAGGGTTTGAGGGTTTAGGGCTTAGGGCTAAGGGTTATGTAGGCATAACATCTTGGGATATATTGGGCTGTATAGTAATTACCTGCCCTAATTCCCTAGCAACCATCCGTACGTGAGGCTTTACGGTCTTTGTCTGTTGTGAAGGCTTTCGAGGCGTGTAGAACTTCAGGTCCCCCAAAAAACCCTAAACCCCTTCGGGACAGATTCTAAATTGCGATGAGGGGTGCAGTAGCTTCTAGTACCCGCCAGAAGCGGAGCATTGGAGACAGCATACTGCTACCATTTCTCTCCCCCTTGACAAGCCATATAATAGTAACACTATATAGTCCCCTATACAAACCTGTTTAAGGAGTTTAGACTACCGCTCATTTGAAGTATCACAAGATGGCCCAGAGCAGGTGCAGTACACCATATCTTACAGCTTCGTGTCCCAAGTGCGTTTGCAATGTGCACACTTTATCCCTCCCTCGTTTGAGGCGTACCTTCTTGCAAACTCTGTCCGCAACCACAGCTATGGCAGCTACTCCCCACCGTGCTGCAAGATTAGTGCATGCGCAACGTCCTCAGCCAACAACTTGTCAGTGCCTTGGCGAGGACCATGGCTCGCTCCAGCACCGCGACGTCGCTGTGCTCGCCGCCTTCACTTACCGTGTGAGGCCCAATCCCCGCACATGTCTCCAGACACGAACTCCGTGCCATTTGGGAACATGTCATGGAGTGTGCATGTAAATATTCATCCACGGTCTTTTAAAAATGCTGACGATGCCTTGCAATGCTGGTTTTCCAGCTATGGGCATGTAAGCAATTTGGCCAGCCTGGTGCTGCAGAGTCTGCCGGGGAGGCTGCCCAAGCACTGTTGCTCGCATCTGTGGCAAGCAAGCCATCGGCCAGCACCACTGCTGTCCAATTCGCCGATGTCAAAAGGGCAGGCAGATCCTCCCCAAAGAAGTATCTACCAAAATCTTGCACATTAACGGCTAGCATTGGCCAAAACATTGAAATCCCTTTCGTGGTATCCCTGATTTTTCTACCCAGCGAGGATTTGAGTGTTGTGCGTTCTTAGCTGGGATTGTTATAAAATCAGGCGCCCCTTTCTACACCTCCACATACGGTTCCTGATTTGATAGTTTCCCAAAATAAGGGGACCCCAAAATAGACCCCAATATATTATAGTCCTTATTATGGGGACCCCCCAAAAGGTACCCCTAATTTTGGGAAATCCCCATTTGGTAATCTCGGAAATCCTATAGACGTTTCAGGCTCCTGGCCCTCCATGTCCAACTCCACACAGCGGCACCGCGCATCGGTGTCGGCCTTCAAAGGGGGCTCAGGGTCCACAGTATCTTATTTTAGTAGAATGGGTTCTATAGTAAACAATAGTATATAGTCCCCCTTAAGTAGATAGAATATGGGGTATATGGGGATCTTATTAGTATATACCCAAAGCCATATTCTATCTACTTAAGGGGGACTATATCATAATGCATTTTATTATGTTTTTGTATATTATACTCAGGGCATTGGTGTCGGCCTTCAGCCGCTTAAGGGCTTCGGCGCTGCCCAGAATCAGCCACTGCTGGGTCGCACCAGTGGCCTGGCAAGAAGAACAAGGGTTTAGGTTGGGTACTGCCCCCACCCAGTAACAGTCCATATTAAGGGTCCTAGTAAGGGCTATATATAGCCATATTATAGTTATTATCCAACTGTTACTGAGTGGGGGCAGTACCAAAGGTTTAGGGTTGTACCCATTGGGGTAATATTAGGGTTATGTTGGGGTTATATTCAGATAATGGAAAATAAAATGGAAGCTACCATAATCGGTTTAGGCTACGGTTGGCCGTAGTGTAGCTCAAATGGGGATCCACTACAGGTGCGCTGCTAGGAAAATTCAGGAGAGGAGAAAAGAAGCAGCATGGTAAAGATCATAACAAAAAGGCTCCAAGAAGAACATGTATGTGCGCGTGGAGACTGTGAAAGAATGGCACGAAACAAGCGAACCGAGCCAAGGCATGGAAGTGAGAATCTCTGAAGCAGTGCATCTATAGTCCCCCTTAAGTAGATAGAATATGGGGTATATGGGGATCTTATTAGTATATACCCAGAGCCATGATCTTTCTACTTAAGGGGGACTATATGGCAGAGCAGGAACTGGCCTGCGCTTGCACCGACTTCCAATTGACGTCGTAGAGCCTTAGATAAACATGTCTCCAAGTCAAGACTCCTCTCCACTTCCCTAACAGAAAACAATCCCTCTTCTAAGACACTGCGAATCATACGTTTAAACACCTGCATTGCCCTGCAACAAATCTACTAGTTTGGTAGATCCCCGAGTCCCCATCACCCCCTAAAGGTCAGTACCAGGAGTGTCCGGAATACTGTACCCAGCGCTAGTGCGCCAATCAGGTTGCAATCGTACATCGGCAGTCAGTGATTCACTTGGCGGGTTGTCGAAAGCTTTCTCCCTTTTGGGGTCCCTATAGAATGCGGCCCCTACAACTTAGGGCACCCAAAAAGTGACCAGAATTTTGACAACCTCCCGTTTGGGTATGTTTGCCTTTTGTAGGGCCATGCACTATCCTAAACCCTTTACACCATATAACCCATTATAGTAGTTTCCAATATAACCCCAATATAACCCTAATATAACCCCAATAAAACCCAATGTAGATTCAGGCCAGGTTGAGACATGGCTTCTGCAGGCACCGATTTTTTGTGGGTCAGTGTATGTGGGAACCTCAGCCCTATACCCTGAACCCTAAACGTTGAGCCATTGCTATTGCAAAAGAATCCGTCGCCAAAATTGCGGCTGCCAAGGTCAAGATTGCCATGACGATGCTCTAGATCTGGCAGGAACCTTTCCAACTTCCTTGACTTCCTGCAGGCTACTAGCGGAGAAGGGAATATTCAATGAGCATATTCCCTACTATCCTCCAGTAAGTTGAAAAACCCACCTCGACTCTGCAATCCTTCCTCCTCTCATTTATCCTGCTCCCTCTCACTAGCTCCCTCCGACCCCAAACCCTGAACCCTGGAAAGACCCTCTTTGGAGGAATCCTGCCCTACATGGCCTTTCGACAGTCTCATGTGTAGCCAAGGGTCATCTGCTGCTCCATGCCTTAGCACAACTTCTCAAGTTCAGAAATTTTGCGATCAGAGACCCTAAACCCTAAACACTAAATGGTAGTTTCCATTTTCTTTTCCATTATCCCTCTATAACCCTATAAAACCATTTTAGTAGTTTCGATTCTCTTTTCCATTCTCCCTATATAACCCCTATATAACCCCTACGCCCCCTACAGAACCCCAAAGAGAAGACCAGCAAACTCAGGGTTGAGTGCTCTGGTTTTAGGGTTTAGGGTTTCGGGTTTAGGCTCGAGGATTTCGGGTTTAGGGTTTAGGGGTTTAGGCCCGAAGATTTCGGTGTAGGGTTAGGGTTTAGGGGTTTCCGAAGATCAGTCAGCTTTTTGGGGGGGAGCGTTTCATCCCAGAGGGCATGTGACTTCTGGTGGCCTGTATGGAAGGGGGGTCTGGCTTCGTACAGTGATATTGATAAGCGCGTTTCCCAAAATAAGGGGTATCCTTTTGGGGGATCCCCATCATGAGGATTACAGTATTGTCGGACCGTGGGGGTACAAGAATTAATAACACAAACCAGAGGAAACCGCATACCCCTGCGATATCGATAATAGCGAGAGGTCAAAATGAGAGCAGTGATGCTGTTGATGGTGATATGTCAAACCTGTCCACTATACTCCCTATATGTGTATATATATATATATGTATCCGAGTAGGATGCAGTAGTTTCTATGTCCTTTTCCAATACCCTTATAATATATGGGATATATAGTATCCCCAATATTTAGACGAATGCCTGCAATTGAAGCAGGTGTTGGGGTTCAATGACAGCCTCCCTGAACCCTAAACCCTAAACCCTGAATCGGGTAAGGATGTGCCTTCCGTTTTTGTGCGGAAAAAAGGGAACGTCGAGGAACTTATGGTAGTAACCAGCTTCTGGAACACAATAGACTGCACCCTAAAACCCTAAACCCTAAATGGTAGTTTCCAATTTCTTTTCCATGATCCCTATATGACCCCAATATTACCCCTATAAACCCCTATATACGCAAGGAAATGCAGCTGAAAGAAACGACTCTGCGGAAGCCTTGGGGTTGCGACATTTCAAAATATCTTTACTTTTCCATTTGACTTGCCATTATTGGTATAGGGGTTATATAAGGATAATGGAAAAGAAAATGGAAACTACCATTTAGGGTTTAGGGTTTCCTCCAAAACCCCTTATTCCTTCCAATAATCACTATATGAGCTATAGTCTAAACTCCTAGTATCCCCCTTAATACCCCTTATAGTAGTCCCCTATATAATCCCCCTTTAAGGAGTTTTGACTATAGCTCATATCATTCCTACATGTTAGCTTGACTTCAACCCTCAGGGTGTCTTCCTACACAGTCCAATTATCCCTAAACCCTAAACCCTAAACCCTAAATTGGGGTTATATTGGGGTGATATTGGGGTAGTTTAGGGTTTAGGGTAGTAGTTTCCATTTTATTTTCCATTATCCCCATATAACCCCAATATAAACCCTATAATCCCTATATAACCCCAATATAAACCATTCGATTTTCCATTATCCATATTGGTAATTATTTAAGCCGAGCATTAACAATTCCAAGCCTGGCGTTGCATTTCTTCGACCTGGAGTCGCCGGAGACGCGCCATCATGAGAACCCCTACATATGAACCCTATATAACCCAATGCAATCCAACTACAACCCTACATAATCCCCATACAACCCTGCATAACCCACAAGAAGGCACCCATAGTCTTGAGAAACCTCCAATAGAGAGCTGCCCTCGCAAATTCGAATGGGCGCACATGTACATATGCGTATGCCTATGTGTGTATATGTGCATACATAAATACACATGTATATAGCTGTATCTCCAACAGAACCCCAAGAACAAGCCTCCCCCCGCCCAAAAAAATCACTGATAGAAGCAACTGGGATCCAGACCCTGGCGCCCCGAAGCTTGCAAGACCTTCTGAATGTGCTCGTCGCCTTAGGCCCCATTTGGCTTCATCTTCGCGGGCGGCACAGGGAAAAAACCTACATCTTGGGATCCTTCCTCGAAGCTATATGGTAGGTTGTCAAAATCATGGTCTTTTGGGTGGGCCAGTATAACACGGCTCCTGTATTTGTTATATGTGTATGTATGTGTATATAGATAGGGTGCCCAAAAAAGGATCATGACTTTGACAGCTGCCCCTTTGACGAGTATGGGGTGCTCCCAACATCATGGGTTACTTTGAGAGGCTCTTTTGAGGTGGGTTCTAGGTACCGCCTCCGCACCCTGAAGCTAAAGCCTCAAACCACTGAACTCCCAAACCCCATGGCCCCCTAAACCCCACTAAACCCCCCTAAACCCTAAACACTCAAACACCAGACCCCGGAACCTGGGAGCATCTGAGGGAGCCACGAACCTCCTGTAGGTGAACATGATCAAAGTACAGGAGCGCCTCGCCTGCATACACGAAGCAACAATTGAACACTATAGGGATAATGGAGAAGAAAATGGAAACTACTATAATGGGTTATATAGGGTTATATAGGGTTTATAC